GTATACTATCTTCGTCAGCGGAAAGAGACGTGTATACTATTATCTTCGTCAGCGGAAAGAGACGTGTATACTATCTTCGTCAATCACACAAACCGAGCACATAGGGCAAGCACACTAACTAACCACCGCCAGAAGCGAGATAGACGGATTACGCCTTGAGATAGTCATCTCATCTCATCTCGCCGGCTTGCCATGTCATCCAACACACTCAGATTTCCCGGAGACAACGTCTGTTTACAAGCAGGAAACAGTTTTGTCTTAATAAGTAGTAAACAAAACGCTATCTCATCGAGAGTGAGTGAAAAAACCAAAACAAAACAAAACCAAAAAATCCAACAAAAAACAACCCCATGCTCCAACAATTATGACATATGTGAGGGGGAGAAAAAAGACAACAAGTAACGTTCTAATGCACCAAATTTAGGCTCTTTTAACTTGCTCTTCAGTTTGGTTTTAGTAAGAGTTTTACGGCCCTTCCAACACGATAAGATCATATAAGTGCCGAAGATTAGAGGTGTTACAAGAGAGTAACAAACACAAAAATAGAAGGAGAGGAGATAGAGATGATGTAATTTTTATAGGAAAGAATGAGCAAACCACACCAGAGCACCCGCTAACCACCCACTCAACTTGTTCGTGATCGTGTTCAAACCTACTATTCTGTACACAAGCATTTCCTGTCTCAAACTCAAAATTATTTCCGGCATAATTATTCCTCCTTACGAGTTTCCTATGGTATGCCTTTGAGAAAGTCTTACAATAGGGATGCGGAATAAAACAGACTACATGCTAATCATAAGAAATATGATACAGAATATTATCAAGACTATCATGCAAATAGTTTGAACCACAATATAAAAAAACAACAAAAACCCCCCCAATAAAAATAACATAAACATTTAAAACAAATAAATCAACTAGTTTTAGTTTTATTTAGTGTTTTACGGCACTTGCAACATAATAAGGTAATGTAGGTGCCAAATCACAAGAGAGTAACAAACACAAAAAATAACGAGGGGAGATAGAGACGATAGATTTTTAAAAGGAAAGAAGAAGCAAACAACACCAGAGCACCGACCAACCACCCACAATCAACTAGAGACCCAATTAAGCACAATTAAACTTGAAACATTAAAACATGACAGAGACATAAACAGATACTATTATGGTTAAGATGTACACAGGACCAGTGGTGCCCTCCAACTACAAGGTACTCACACTTGCCTGAGCACCAATGCCTACTCAAACACTGTTAGAGAAGGCACTGCTGAGCACCCACCAACCACCCAGCGGGTGCCGCGGCTCGTTCCGTGTGGCATGACGTCACCCCAGCCCCGGATCCGGTGACGGGACAGCAGCGGGGGACGATCCTGGCACGGCCGCGTAAATCATAAACACATCCAGGCCGGGCCAGCTACAGTCACGTGACACGGACGGACGGTGCGCTCTTCTTCTTGTTCTTTTGTATCCTCCTCCTCTTTCCACGCACGTCCTTTCTGTCTTTCTTTCTTTTTTATTTTATTCCGTCGGTCTGTCTATGTATATGTCGATTTGTCTCCCCGCCTGTCTGTCTGTCTGTCTCTCTCTCAGTCGCTCTCTCTTC